GAAGAATGCCAAATCCATGGTGTACTGGGGATACACGTAGACGATGGAATCGGAGGTGGAGACCATGTTTTCAACCAAACTATAGCGACACTAGAGAAGCGTTTTCCTTTTGGAACACAGCGACAAGGAAGTTTCACGTTCACTGGAATCCAAATTCAACAAGAAATCAATGGAGAAATTTTCCTCAGTCAAAAAGAATACGTCCAAGATATACCCCCAATAAACATTCCCAAAGATCGCCGAAAGTTTCCAGAAGAAAAGATCACGACCCAAGAACTTCAAGAGTTGCGCGGTTTGATTGGAAGTCTCCAGTATGCGGCCACCAACACGCGGCCTGACATCTCATGTCGTTTGAGTCTCCTTCAAGCCAGGATCACATGTGCTACAGTGAATGATCTCCTCCAAGGGAACAGACTTCTTCATGATGCAAAAAGATTTGCCGAAACCAAAATCAGAATCCAAAGTCTTGATCCAAAAAAAGTGAGATTCATGTCATATTCCGATGCAGCTTTTGCCACACGCGAGAAAGCAAATTCACAAAAAGGTTGTTTAATCCTTGCCACAACAGATGAAGTTGATCAGATGAAAACCTCTAGGGTAAGCCCGTTGGTTTGGTTCTCGAAGAAAATAAATCGAGTAGTATCCAGCACCCTTGCATCAGAAACATTTGCACTATCCGGAGCTCTTGATCTTTTAAGTTGGACACGCATGCACTGGAGTTGGATCCTAGACCCAAACCTTCCATGGAAAGAAACAGAAGCCACCCTCAAGAAGCTGCCTGTTGCCTATGCCGTAGTAGACTGTAAGAGTCTTTTCGATCTCTTGCAAAAGACATCCATACCACAATGCTCTGAGTATCGGACACTCCTCGAAGCACTTGTAATTAAAGATCGACTCAGTGAAGGGGTAATCATAAAGTGGGTCCATAGTGCCGCTCAAATGGCAGACGCGTTGACCAAGGACATGGACACTAGTGTGTTGTTATCCTTTCTCCAAAAAGGTCAGTGCATCTTGCATGATCCTGAGGAAATCTTGAAGCAGAGAGCTGATAAGCGTGTCCGACAGGCATGGTATCAACAGTCGAATGGGCTAGAGACAGCACTGCATGTTTTTGCACTCAGCCTTGGCCTCTAAAGAGGACTCATTTCCGATGCGAAGTCTCCGGAATGATTTCAATCTTGCGACACCAGGTGAATTCAATGAAGGGAAATTCCCGAAATTTTGTGACTTCAGAATAGAACTTGAGAAGCAGCCTAAGAACGTAAATCCTGCTGCCTTGATGCCTTTTTTTTCCGTGCATGCCAAAAAAGAAAACGATGACATACCACTTGTCCATCCGTAATTACATAAACCTAAAAATACAAAATAAAAATATATTTTTAAGGAGTGTAATTTCCATGCCAAACCTTGACATAACTTGAAGGTATAGGAAGATTCTCCCGACAACGAGTTGTACCTTGAATCACCTGCGGGAAACCTCTTGTTGTGCCTTAGAAGGTGCGGCTCAGGGTGGCCATAGCAAAGGGCTTTAGGATGCCCCTTTAATCGGTGATTTGCTGCGGTCAGCCATTGGAAAACATTGCGCCTGCGGCCTGGCGCTTGGTGAAGCTTGGTAGGACCTGGGGTCCCAATTTTCCTTCCTTGGTTAGCTCGGGGGCTTGGCTACCTTTGTGGGCAACCACAATATGTATATATATATATATGATTATATATATATATATATCCCCATCCCCATCCCGGTCGTCTCCAGCTGCACCTGGGTCCCACTCGGCATCACCATCTTGTTCAAGGCTTCAGCGATCTAAGCGAAGCGCGGCAGAAAAACAACGTGGCTTTCCACGTGGCAAAAATCCTGATGTGTTAGCTGATATAACTGATATAACATGATCAATGTAAGAGGTGATGAATTTTCGTGGTGAATTTTGCTGGTGACTTTTTTTTTGGGGTGAGTTTCTGTGCTTAGTACATGGGTCATTAAAAGTCCCCATTGAACATCACCCAACCATTAGGTATATGGTATATAATAACCATGTAGTAACCATTCGTAGTCATCAGTAACCATAGTTCACCCACGTGGGAGAAGCGTCTACGAAGGCGACGCTTCGGATCCGAGGTTCTGAAGTCATGGACAAAGGGAAGATTTTCCCACAAGGTGGTGCCCCAGTGAAACCAAAACCATGGGAAAATGGTAGTTTAACATGATTTAACGTGATTTAAAATGGTGATTTATGGATGGAATAGTTAACTTATTGAATACTCCCATGATATCCAATGATAATACTTATTTATAATAGCTATCCAATTCATAGTGAATACTCCAATTCATGGATATCATCAGATCCCTATTCAATGGGAGATCTCCAGGATCCTAAAATGGAGGTACGTAAACGTACCATATTTCAGGCCATATGTTGTGGGGATATTCCCTGAAATGTAGGCCTTACATAGGCCTTATATATGGTAGGTACCTCCAATTTGGGGTTCCTGAAATGGCCATTGATATGGGGCTTTCCAGTTAAAATGTTGCCTTAAATCAATCCATTGCAACATGGATGATTTTCAACAGGGAGGCCAATGATTTTGGGGTACCCAAGTTCAACAAAACCCACAGATGGCTCCATTTTTGATCGAGGATTTTCTGTTGCAATGTTTGAGGACAGCGGAAGGTATTTTCATATTTTTGTTGCACGGAAGCGAAGAAGAGATATCTATATAGAGGTTTCCAAAAATGGGGGTCCCCCAATAGCTGGATGGTTTATTTCATGGAAAGTCCGAAAATCAATGGATGAGACCTGGTGGTACCGCAATTTTAGGACACCTCTATATATACCAGATATGGGATGTTGGCCCCGGTTTTCCCCCAGTCTGGGGCGTCAACCTCGGTACTCCATTGGGGACTAGGTGAAGGTGCCCCTGCCATGGGTGTTGCTGGGGAAATCACGAAAAAAACTATGGTCTCTCTAGATGTCTACAGTGGATATATCCACTTACCCCCTGGTTATTTGTTACATAGCCATGGAAAGATCCACCCATTTTTCAGTTCGGTCAACCATGTATTTCTATGGGCCATCTATACCATGGCGAACTGTTAGTCATAACCAGAGGGTAGCAGGTTATGAACCAACGTTCACATCGCATCAGGGCACCGCCTTGTTCTTGGGGGGGCATTCTCCATCTTCCAGTACCATTTTGAACGACCGAGGGGCATGGAAATCGTTGAAGTTCCAGCTGATCCAGTCCTCAAAGCTTCTTCGCGGTGCTGGAGCGGTGCTGGAGCGTAGCTGGAAAATCATCTGAAAAAATGGATTCTCCATGTTTCATGGATGATCTAGCTGTTGACAAGGAGGGCTATGATATCTCATTGCCCCAGGGCTGAAGCTCGATAAGGACTGAAAGCGGGCGCTTCTAGCCCAAGTGGCGCTCAAAGGGTCTCAAAGGCCATGGAGAGATACCAAATGTGCCATACTCAAGCTACATCTGTGTAATGGGATAACAATAGGATTTAACCATCAACAACAGGAATTGTCCTGGTGATAATGGGAAATTATCAACAATGGGAGTAAACATTGCATTTTTTGTGGTTTATGGGGATCCCAGCCGTGCATCATCCATTCCACAATTGGGAATCCTAACAACGACTATATAAATTTCTAGTGATGGATTGATGACCATCCCCCATATATGTATATATATATATATTATACATATATATTATACATATATATATATATATTATACATATATATATATTATACATATATATATATATATCATACATATATATATATTATATATATATTGTACATACATACATATATATATATATCATACATATATATATATATATATTATACATATATATATATTATACATACATATATATATATTATACATAGATATATATATATATTATACATACATACATATATGTTATATATATATTGTACATACATATATATATATATTATACATACATACATATATATTATACATATATATATATATTATACATACATATATACATATATATTATACATATATATATATATTGTACATATATATATATATTATATATATATGTATGTATATACAATTCAACTCTTGACATCGGACATGCGGACACGAGCATCCACGCTCCAAGACCCCAAGCACAGGTGGCGGAAATCAGGGAGTTGAGACTAGCTTGAAACTAGCCAAACATGCACCTAATTAAGATGAATTAATGCCGTTGTTTCCGCAGTTTCCTCATGTACTGCGAACCATGGCATTCACGTTGATCAAGTTTAAGCGCTTAACCCACGTTTCCTTCTTTAACAGCACCAATTGGGGGTTGAAAATATATCATGTGCCCCAAATCCAGCCGTTTATCATCATTTTCCTCACAGGAATTGCCACAAACGGGGGGAACAGTCCATCTGAGGACCGACCCATTGTGGAAACTGTCGCGATCACACCTTCAAGTATCGCGTATTGTTGATTCTATGTCCCCTGAATATTCCAAAATCACCATGATATCTTCCCATACCCCTCTGAACTTTCGATTGAATACATTTTGTGATACCCAAACGTTCTTGGCCTATCATATCTATCACAAATCAGCTATAAATCCATATAAATCCATATAAATCCTCATTTTTCCTGGATGAAGTCCCACTTTTTTGGGGCATTTCACACTCCCAAGCTGATCCCAGCAGAAATGTTCTCCGAGCAACGCTGAGCGTCACCGGATCCCCGACGTTCTCTCGGAGGCCGATGCGCCATTGACCGCCACTCCTCGGAGGTAACTGTTATACCAGGATGATAGGTTTATATAGGAAATTATAGAATGAGAAAACAGGGATTATGGTTTTAAATAAACATCGTGTATTGCGTATTGCGTATCTATTTGGGGTATCCCATAAAATAATGATTTTTGTATATGACAAAATAGTTATAATTAGTTGTAATATATTGCTGGTCAATCCAATTCAATGGTTTTCCATTTTGAAATCACCAAGCAGTCACTCTTTTGGGGACTCCATAGGCGATCCCAGCGACTTCGAATAGTACCGCGTGATCTTCACAGTCCTTGGACCACGCTGCGATGACGTTGGTTTCTGGGGAACAACCGGAAGAAACCCAGCGGTTTTTCAGCAGGAAAAGTGTTGGATTTCACGGGGAAAAATGGATTTACCCTCTGGTTATGACTAACAGTTTGCCATGGAAAATGGCCCATTTTTAATAGGTAAACCATGGTAAACCAACTATTTCTATGGGCCATTTCCCATGGCTATGGTAAATAACCAGAGGGTATATCTAAAAAATTGGGATGGTTGGATTACCGGGGAAATGGCCTCAAGACATCAAAGATTGTCATGGAAATCACCTGCTGCCTCGGTCCATGGCCAGCAAAACGCTTCAGCATAAGACGACGAGGTCGATATACCTACCATAAATGCAACAGTGAAATCTGACTTTCAATATGTAAACTATTATTAATATCAATGTATTTGATATGTGTCAATATTGTATATATATAATTTTCAAGATGTTTCCCAATGAAATGATTATAACATCGCGAAGAAAAAAGGCACAGCCATACTTCGATGAGATTTGCCGTTTTTAAAACGAGTGATTTTCCAGTTCGCTATTTTAGTTCAACAGGGGGGTTCTATGGTGAACCATCGAAATTTATTGGTATACCCAAAAAATTGCCATTGATATACCAGAAGCTATCCCTGAAACACCATCATATCCAGTTGAACAGAGAGTAAATTCCATTATATCCAATTAAAAACCCCATAAAGTATCCCCATAAAATCCCCATTCAATTCCATACATTCCACTAAAATCCACAAAATATCCATAGAGTATCCCCGTTAAATCCCATTGCATCCCCATCATATCCCTGTGAATCTCCATTGGTGTTGCTTAAAGCCACCATTTCTCGCCTTTCAAAACCCAGCGTCTCGGGCCAGCTCTTGCGATCCGCCAGCAGTTCGCGCTGTGCGGCTGTGAGGTTGGACAAATCCTGCGGATGGACCCCGGCGATTCCCAGAGAGTTTAAAGGATGGATAGGATAATTCAATAGGGAATGATAGAATAGGATACAATAGACGGATAGATAGATAGATGGATAGGATAATAGAATAGGATATAATAGACGGATACAATTGGTATCTATCTATTGAATGATAGAATAGGATACAATAGATGGATAGATAGATACCAATTCTCCTGTCATTATCCCAATCTGGGATGTAAGGATGATCCAGATATGATGGATTATCAATGTATGGATATGAATAGGGAATGATCATGGACTGGTTGGTGCTTTTTCGCCCTACCCCTCTGAACAATGTATAGTTTATGGGGATTATAAATCATGGGATAATGATGAGGATTAATGGGATTACCAATTAGTAGGATATTACCCTCTTGTAAACAAACACATAGCTATTGAAAATGGCCCAGTCGAAGTTGATTTACCCATCAATAGCATGGTGGATCTTTCCATAGTTTTTTTTTGTAAACGTTTACCAGAGGGTAGATGGATGGGTAAATTATAATATTTCACTAACCTGAATTAAGGCTATTTGGGGATATTTTCCCTTACTAACCATGATTCCAGTGAGGTCGCAGTGAGGTCGTTATAATTTACCAAGATGGATATAACCAACTTTGTAAGTTAAGACTTTGGTAATTTGGGAACTGGAGTGAACGGTTCACCCGCTTATGAGATCACCGGAGTGGGAGAGTTCCAAAAAAATTGGTTTCTAGTAATATCGATATACATTAAACCCGGGAGGTCAATAACTCCTACAACCACTCAACAAGGAAGTTATAGGATATTATGTACTAGTATGTAGTGGTATATTATATCACCGGGATAAATTGATATTATAATGGTATAAAACTAGCAATCATAGAGACGCAACGGGATATTAATGGAATATGAATGGGATATGATATGTGTGCCATGGTCAAAAATAATAAATGTGGTATAGTCATCCATCCCATCGTGGGAATCCTGAAACAAAAGGTTACCTTTACGGTATATCAATCCCTACTACTAATAGATTTATGATCATGTCATAACCCAAGATGGGCATACAATCCATCTTTTGACACGGCGCTTGCGGACCTGATCCAAGTTCCACGCTGGTGCCGGGTATTGGTGACCAATGCAAACAGAGAGAGAAAACTCGTCCAATTAAACCGACCATGGCATATAATATTCATAAATATATATATATGTATACACACTGGTTGGTGGTTTCAACCCATCCAAAAAAAATACTGTATTAGTCCATGTTCCACATTATCCTAGACTATGTCGATCCCTAATCAACCAGATAGTATTACCCACTGTTACAGCCGATCACCAGGGGTATGTATGTACATTTGTCCAAAAAAATGGTGATGCCCAATTTGTAGCCCTTTTAATGGAAAAAATGGTGATTGACCCTTGACTTGTGGGATACACTATTTCCCGGCAAACCCAGATCCGTAAAGATAAAATTGGCAGAGGTATCACTATCAAGCTCTGAACTGAGATTTAGTCATATAAAATTTAGGAAGTAGGTTTGTCAAGGGCAGGGCAAAAATTACTGCAATGCTTAATGATGATAGCATGGCCAATTTATGGGTAGACGAGTCCCCCTTGGTCAAAGCCACCTGGACATTTCCAGCCACCCATCGGTCCGGCTTATGAATGCGCAGGCCCGTCGCAGTGTAAGCACGACCTGGTCACATGACCAATGGGAGGATTTTGATCCGTAAGCTCTTCATGGCATTCAGTCCTCCAGTCACGGAGGTTACCTTTTTTGTTGATCAAGGCTAGTCGAACGACTTGGCGATCCCTCGGCACATACTTGGTGACCCAGTTCCTGGGTACTTCACCAAAAATCCATCAGTTTTGCCAGGTTCAAACCCCATTTTCCCTACCAAAATCCAGCATTGTGTCCATTTTCCCTAGTAAAATCGTAGGAAAATCCATCATTTCGTCCATTTTCCCCAGGAAAACGGCCCCTTTTCGTTCCAGCGCCGTGTCCCTTTTCGTCGCCACCGGGCCACGTCGCCGCCGCGAAGCGAAGCCCGGGCGCCAGTCCTCTGGCAGCACCTGGCGCTTCACGAAGAAGCGCCGCTCGCCTTCGGTGAATCAATGGTGAAAAACGGTGAATCAGGGATATGATGGGGATGCAATGGGATTTAATGGGGATACTTTATGGATATTTTGTGGATTTTAGTGGAATATCATGGGATTTTTTCGGATTTTATGGGTTGTTTAATGGGATAATCCATGGGAATATACTGGGATAGCTGGTATAGAAAAATGGTGAACTGGTTGGTGGATTGTTATTCCCCCAAATAGCTGGCTAATGGATTGTTATTCCCCCAAATATGGTAATAATTAGCTTTGACATATCCTCATATACCAACCAGTGAATGGATAATAATGGTGAACAATATGGTGATAATGGGGAAAAATGGTGAATTAGCCAAATAGCTGGCTAATGGATTGTTATTCCCCCAAATAGCTGGTATATCAATGGTGATCTTTTGGGTATACCAATTACCTCTGGTAAACATACAAAAACTGTGAAAATTTACAATTGTTTATGGATAAATAAAAACTATAAATGGCAATTTCCAATCGCTATGTTAGTTTACTATAGATATGAAATGATATGGAAATAGATGTATGATCTACTACTATGTAACTATAGACTATGTCTGGTTGGTGGTTGACCTACCCCTCTGAAAAACATGAGTTCGTCAGTTGGGATGATGAACTTCCCAATATATGGAAAAATAAAAGCCATGTTCCAAACCACCAACCAGTGAATGAATCGTGGTGAATAATGCTTAATAATGATGGATTATGGTTAATAATGATGATGAATTAATCGTTGTCAATATATGGTTTGATCAATTTTGATTAATTATCATGGTGTCTTAACTAATTAATTAATTATCATGATAATTCACCACTAATGATAATCAATGAATGGTTAATTATCGTGATTCATTAATCATGGTGAATAGTGGTTAAGGATGGTGAATAGTGGTGAATAATGATTAACAATTTTAATAATTAACTAGTGGTTTAATCACTATGAACTAGTGGTTTATAATTATTCCTGGTTAATAACACTATAACTATAATAATAGTGGCTTAATCACTAGTGGTTTCTAATGATGAATAATGTTAATAGTTAATAGTTAGTAGTGCTTAATGATGAAGTCATGGTGATAGTGCTTAATAGTTACCATAATGGTAAGTACAGTTATGGCCATTTACCAGTTATAAGTGGTTATAAATGGGATTATACATTCTATAAATGTGGTTATAAGTACTTATAACTGGTAAATGGCCATAACTGCAATAGTATTAAGTAGCATTAACCATGGTTAAGTAATGGTTACTGTAAGTATGCAAATTACCATGATGGTTAATTACTATCATGGACTTAGTATTTAAGCATAATTATCAATACTAATAGTGGTAATAAAACAAATGATTAATAATACGAATAGTGAATAGTGGTTGATGGTGGTTAATAGTAGTTTTGAAATGATTAATAATGGCTAATAATGATGAATAACGGCTTAATTATAGCTATTTTCTTATGGTGATTATATATATACAATAGTTAATAGTGGTAATACTAATAACGGTAATCATGATCGATAATTATATTTCTGATGGTGTTCACCATGAAAATAATGAGTACGGAAATAATTAATATTTGTTGATAGTGGTTAAGAGTTACCCTCCAGTAAATTAACATAGACCCTGGTAGATAGGGGTTGGAAGATTAGTTTCCTCTAAAAATTGGTGATTTTCAGGGTCTATGTTAATTTACCAGAGGGTAATATCTATATGTAGGTTTTACATGGTTTTATAACTATAGTTCAAAAACATGCGAAGTACGGATACATCTGCGAACGGTTCAAAATTCAAGATCCAGACCAGAGAGATTAGTCTATGTTTAGTATCAATTAACCATCTAAGCGTTATCTAAGTATTGAGGTATCCAATTTTGACTCGTACCCATTTCACATATTTGCTTGACCCACTTTCTAAGTAGGGTACATATACATATATATATATATGTCTTGTGTTTGCAGTTTATCTTTAAAAAATCTGTCAATGGATATGCATATATATATATTGTAGATTAGTTTAACTACCAATGTATTAAAAAATAGGTCTAAACATTTATATAAAACCTTGCTGATTTACTGATAAACCAACTTAGCTAGCTACATGTGACATCTCAGTCACTATCTGCTAACCTATGATATTTCCTTGATATCTCAAAACAAATTCTCTTCTCCCACTAGAGTCGGGAACCAAGATGTACAAACTTGTTGCACCTGTTACATTCCAGATTTGCGCAACACATGCGCATGCACTGGGCACAAAAACGCGCAAAGATTTCAGCCGTTTGCGCTTCTCAAACAGAATGCAAAGGTCGCAAACAGAATCTACGCTGAGCAGCAACGCGTAGACAAAGCAAAGAATCAGGGATTTGCAGGCTGCAAACCAAAAAAGAAGTATTCTGAGCTGAAGCCCCTGCCACGCTATCAGAACTTACGCCGTGATAGCTGCAGGCCGCCAACTGAAGTCAACTGTGATGGGCTGCGACTTGGGAGAACAAGTCTTGCTGGAAGTGGAAACATTCTTATCATCAGAGAGGCCTGACTGCCTGACCAAGGCAACTGCACCCAAGTACACTTGCAGTTGTGGGTCGCATGATCAATGCCAATGTTCCGACCAAGCTGTGGGAGTGATGGTGGTGATGCCAGCAACGCATTGGTGGCGGAGGCCTTGGTTTTGGCCCTGCCGGGAGAGTTTCGTTTTGGCTACAGTAGGTAGGTTGGGACCTTGACTGTAGAGACGCAGCACCGCGTCCAGAATTACCAATTCCATCCATAGCAGCGCAAAATTGAGACCATCCACATCACCCCTCTGTACGAAAAAAGCAGGGTTTGTAGCCTACTTACCACGGATGAATCGCCAAGTCATGTATGTATAACTGGTTGGTGGTTGAGCCCTACCCCTCTGAAAAATGATGGAGTGTTCGTCAGTTGGGATGATGAAACCCAATATATTGGAAAGTCATAAAATTCATGTTCCAAACCACCAACCAGTATAATATATGTAGATAATACTATAATGTTTCTACCTTAGTAGGATATCGGACAATACAACTGGCTTATGAAGCCCGAAAGCATTCGCAGCTTCCTCAGATCCTTAAAAGACCATGGCTTGGATTGGCCGCTCGAGTTCAGCCCACAGCTTCCGAACCATTGATGGCAGCCAAAAATGCAAGAAAAAAAACGTAGAACCATGAAACAGTTCAATGACTATAGTCCATTATAGTCCATTAACAATACATATAAAACCAGTTCAATGACTAATAATTAATAATTATAATAATACAATATAAAACCGACTTCCAGGCTTTGCCTTTTAGCTTTCCTAAAACGTATCTCTGATACTTACCTTTTGGGTGGCTAAATCCCCATCGGTATCCGAATTTGGTTGGCCAAGTTTCAAAAATCTTTGGTGAATCATTGCGAAAAAATCTCGATTTCAGTTGGCATCAAGATTTCTCTTGGTGAAAGCCGCATTTTCCGTTGAACCATGGTTGTTTCCACCATGGTTACCCTCTGGTAATTTAACGTAGCTGACGTAGCTATTGAAAATGACCATAGAAATAGTGGATTTACCCATTAATAATGGTGATTTACGTTAGGTTACCCATTAATAGTTGATTTTCTACCCATTAATAATGGTGATTTTCTGTAGCTACGTAAACGTTTACCAGAGGGTAAACCTTCCTTTGCCACGCCTTGAACCCCCCAAAGGCGCCTTGTTCCAGCGGCAGCGAGACCTCTGTGGGCGTCCGGAATTCCAAGCCCTGCCCGCTTTTGGTGCCGTAGGCCTCCGTCAACTTGGTGCCGACGTGCGCCTTGGAAAAGTCGTCGAGTTGCAGGGATTTTTTTGCGGAAAAAAGATTGGCAGCATGGATTGTGACATTGTGATTTCATGGTGACTTTTTCTGGTGATTTGGAGGGTAACTTAATGGGATTTTTCATGGTGATGCTTCATCGTTGATTTCACGAACGAAAATAGCCGAAATGTTCATGGAGACCTCATGGACATATCATGGGTAAAACATCACCTACTTCAAGATGCATGCCAGAGGTGGACTTGCGGATACAACCATTGGATGACCGACCTAACGCCCCATGCTTGTTGAGATTTTTGAGCCCAACAACTGACTATGCCCAACAAAATCCCTATATCTATGGTGAATTCTCTATCCATCTATCCACTAAAAACTGGAATTGCAGTGGAAAAAGGGCGACCCCCCGAAATTTCTCCAGATCCCATTGAAATCCGATAGAAGCTGCTTGGCCCAGCGTCCCGTCGTGAAAACTCTGGGTTTCAAGACTGGGTACCCTTAGATTTACCAGGTGATCACCGTCCTTTCGATAATGCCACAGCCATATCAATCCTTGCAGCCCCGATTTCGTGGCTTTCTTGGGGATCTCCGAAGGTCCAAGGTGCCAGTTGGTTCGAAGTATGACTTCTGGAGTTGTAGAAGATGGAACATCCAGTGTGGACGGCACGTCGTCGATTGCCAGTCCTGCAGAGCCCATGGAATTCATGGAAAAGAATAGCTGCTTTGGTGTTTTCTTAGGCCACAGAAGATGGAAATGTGCCCACAAAATTTGGATGGTGATCTGTCTTTTCCATTTTTCTCGGGACCACTCTTATATACCTGAAGCACATTGGGAGCATCTTGAACAGAATAAGGGATACAGGATACAAACCGACAACCATTGGGACATATTGGGACACAATACATCCAATTGAATTTGGAAGGCAGAGGTTAAACATTGTTTCATCGTACTCTTTGGTGAATTTTGAGAGTCAAAGTCAGGAAATCGCAGGGAACGCTTCAGGGTTTCAGCCAACTCGTTTTCTAAAGTCCGGAGTAACAATCCCAAAAAAAAATATACTGGCTGGTTAAGAAGAGATTTCCCCGTTCGCGGATTGTGAAAACCTGCAACATGTATGTGTATGTATATATATATATACATTGGATAGCATAAGCCTATACAATCATCGACCAGCAATCATTTATATTCATTTATCAGTTATATACACCTATTCCATTCATGTTTAATAGTTGAATTTCCAGTCTACTCCACCACAAAATCCGGATCCGGTGTATTCCATTGTCGCGGCGCCTGCATGCGACGTAGTCGATCCGCTCGGCCACTTGCACCATATCTTTGGGATCGGGGGACTCGCTGAGCCAGACATCCTGTACTCAAACGTGGCTGGAAAATCGATCATTTCGTGAAGTTATAGCGGATTTTCGCATTGAAACCTTCATGTATAGCGGATTTTCTAAGCTATTCACGTTTGATTGCCAGAGGCTATAACTAACAAACTACTGTAATTGCATACGTTTGATGCTTCATGACCTAGAAACATGAACATGAATTTGGGGCGATCGATCACCCATTTTGTTTGCTGCTTGAATCTAACTGAAGACCCAAAAAATGGCTGGCTACTTTTTGTTGAGATCCAACAAAAATCGCTCAACTTGGCTCCCCAAAAAAGTTCCCCAGAACGCCCCCTTGATTGGCTCGGTCTTGGTGAAAAATCCCCACCGGCGAGGCGTCCTGCCAGAGACGACCCCAGGTCATAAAGGAGTAGTGGCCACTGAAGGGCGCCACGAAGAATCCCAAGATCTCCTCCACCAGTCCTGGGCAAAAACCCCAGAAAGGCCATGACGAATGAAGCCGGTGGGATGGTGGTGAACATGATGGATTGTCCGATATATCACTGGGTTATACTGTATACACATACATATCTGGTTGGTGGTTGAGCCCTACCCTCTGAAAAATGATGGAGTGAAAGTCAGTTGGGATGATGATTCCCAACTGAATGGAAAAATAAAAAATGATCCAAACCACCAACCAGATATATACATAATTATACATATAATATGGTTATTAGATGTTATTATGCACTTACTGTAATCCAGTAGATGGATTGGAAAGAACATCTACAGGAAAACGGAGTGAGACAGCCAAGCTTTGTGACCAGCAAGTTTTGAAGCAACGAAGACAAAGGGCCTATAAGCTGCAAACATGGTAGATATCATCGATAAAAAATTTGGATGGGGGGTACTGTACATCCTAGAAAAAGTGATCATGTACATATCCACCATCTCTGGGAAGAAGCTAGGACAAAAAAGATTAAAGCTAGGACTTTTAGAACAGCTTTTTGGGAAGATGCCCCATCAGGGGTACCTCGTTTTTCGGGCCCATCTTGGCTTGGTCCATTGGTAAGGGGATGATCATCGAAAATTTTCGGTGGAGAAAATGAGAAAACCATCTGGTTATGACTAACATTTTGCCATGGAAAGATCCACCCATTTTTAAGTTCGGTAAACCATCTATTTCTATGGGCCATCTATAGCATAGCAAACTGTTAAATAACCAGAGGGTATATTTGAAACCACCAACCAGATAGTCATAAAACCGCATTTCGGGATGGTTTACTTCATTAGTATGAGCACTATATGATGGCTTTGTCTGAGAATAGTGTACGCCAAAACCCAATGGCTAATCATCATGTTCCCTAGTAAATGGCTATAAACTGCTATTTTTTTGTGGGCCATAGCCTATTTCCAGACACACCCATATGGGTTTGTCTGAAAATAGAGTATATTCCCAATTATAGCCATTTAATAGGGATAATGATCATTAACCATTGGGTTTAGGGGTACAATATTTCCAGACACACCAATATCCCGAAAAAACACAAAAAATCTTTGCCACGAAGCTTTGGAGTCTCTACATAATGTGTATACATATATATATATACCCTCTGGTTATGTCAAAATAGCTATTGAAAATGGTCAGTTATAGATGGTTTACCTGGGTTTACCTATCAAAAATGGTGATTTTCCATGGCTATGTTAAATGTTAAATAACCAGAGGGTGTATATATATATAATACATGTGTATATGCAACTGGGTTATACCATGGCGAATCAAAATACCGAAGTATCAGAGATGCAGCCCAGTCGCCGTGGTTGCCGCTCGCTTCCTCCATGGTTTTGTAAGGTGCCTGTGCCATGGCAAGTTCTGGAGTGTTTTACAGGAAGGGTCGATGTATATGTACAGTAGGTGTATAGGATTAGTGTATATGTATGTATAACGTGTATATATATATACACATATATGTAATGTACCGTAATGTAGAATGTATCATAATGTATATGTATCCTCTGTATATTGATGTGAATAATAACTAATCAGCAAAGATGTTGGTCACTGCTCACTTGTAGGAGTGAATCTAATTATGGGGCAAGATTTCAGCACTTAGCACAGAAACAGATAAAACAGGTAGTGTCGTCAAACATGGCTAGCGGCTAGCTGGAATATCCACTAGAAATGGCTGGTTTCTGGGAAAATCAACTATAAATGGTGGATATTGCCGCCTTGGATTCCCCTATCTATCAACTGGTTCGAAATCCCGAAGCCCATGATGTGCCCCTCATCACTTCAAGTTGCTGAGGTTTAGCCATCTGAATGGGTTCAGAACTGGCCCCAAACTTGATTTCGATCCAAAATGGATGCTTTCCCCCTTGACCATTGGCGTGAGGTTGATACTGTCCCCATCCACGTTGTTGCTGGTTCCATCCCCTGTGTTTACTGATAAATCTCACTTTGTTCGCATCTCGGTGAAGTTTTCGTTGCTCCTCATCTCTCTTGCTCAAGTTCTCCCCAATGGTTTTTCCCCATTTTTGTCTCCAAAATATCCCAACGCTTCAGGGTTTCACTGATGTATTCCTGCGGATTTATCCCATCCCATCCTTTCGACCATTTTCACTGGTGAAATCCGCCTCGGGGTCATAGCTGAGCATCTGTGGGGGATCATCAGACTCGGCTTCAGGCCGCTCATTTCCTTGGCCAAAGGAAGGGTTTCACCCCGAATCGAAAAAGGGGCACCCCAAATAGCAACGCGGCAAAAGCCTGGAGGAAAGCAACTGATCACTATTTTGGAGGAGTTGAATCTTCCATCTTTTTGGAGCTCGTTATAAGCTGGTGCATTTCACTAGGCTGACTGTGGTTTCAACAGTAAGTAGTGGCTTTGGGGGTCCGCAATGTAGGCAAACACCCATCTGGGGTTTGGGAAATACGAGGGGAAGCTTGAGATTTCGGAAAAATGGTCCAAAACTCCAACTTTTTACCAAACTTGGAACCACTTGAAACTCTGCCATACTTAGTATATCTTAGTATTACTTCACCATTCTTCACCCCGAAAATGGTCCCCTGTGTCAGATTGTAAGGGCTGATTAAAAAAACGTCCTTTCCTGTCACCACCTGCCACGCGACCAAAAGCTCCCCTCATGACGTCCGTGCGGACCACTTCCATCATGGGACGCCTCAAAGGTGAAGGAAAATCCCGCAGGGGAAGGGGCCCCAGGGCCCCAGTTCGTGAACGCTAAGTTGGTGCAAAAAACTATAATTACCATAGTGTATGATACGCAAATAACTATATTTGGATGGGGTTATAAACCAACTTATAACTAGAGGGCCCCATTCTGTAGGGGAAGGGACTACATTATGATTACATTGGAAAGTGCATTTCGGAATCATGCATTGATGATCATTCCGAAACACTGCTTGGGCCTGACTGACTAGCTGAGCTGAACCACGGAAACCGACAACGTAAGATGGAGAAATTAGACCAGACTCCGGGATGGACGAAGGGAGAAAGCAACTGTTCAAATGGCAAGCCTCCAACAAGTCTGAAGAAGTTGATGGAGATCTGGATGTCTATCGGATATCTGATGGATATTTCATGGATATCTAGTGAAATCCAGTGGATATCAAATGGGATGTCAACTCCTCCCCAAAAAAAAGCTGAGCTGAACGAAGCCAAGTTAGTCGCTACCCTCCCAGCATCCAAAGTCCAGGTACAACACTAGTCTCTCCCAGAAAATGCCCAGAATCTGTCATTCATTGAGTCAACGAGTCTTTCCCAAAACAAAAAACTGCCTCACTCAAGTTCCCAAAATGTTTCACTGCGCAAAGTTCAATGAAGTGTTTTTTTGGTTAAAAAAACACCACATCCGGAAACCATGGTTTTTTAGCCATCAAATTTCATTGGGCTTCAAGCGCAGATTTTCCAGTGCTGGAATCAGTTGATCGAATATTCCCCGTAGCCTCTGGCAATCTAAACATGGCCATGGAAAATCCACCATTCAGGATGGGGCCCCGTAGTTTGCTAAGTTGGTTTATGAGTATAATAACCATAGTGTATGATACTTATAACTATATTTGGATGGAGTTATAAACCAACTTATAACTGGGGGGACCCATTCTCTAGTTGATTTTCCCAATACCTGGATGTATATGTTCAATCGCCATGTTTGATTGCAGGAGGGCAATGTCATAAACCATATATAAATCCCAACTTTTCTTGGTGAAGTCGAAGTTTTGTTGGTTAAAGGACCATTATTCATGGAAATCACCATTTTTGTAGCTATGGAAAATGGCCCATTGAGTTCGTTGATTTACCTATTAACAATGATTAACAATGGTGATGTTCCATCGTTATGTAAACGTTGAGGCTAATTCCACATTGAACCACCAGATGTTTCTTGTTCAATGTCCCAAAAAAAAAAGGCTACGCGCTACGCGCGCCAGGCGACTGTTCCCGGTACTCAGGGTTCAAGGAAGCGTGTAGAGCTTGACGACCGAGCCTGGGATTTAGGGATCTTATCCCAAAAGTTGGTAGTTGGTTAACAAAAGCCATAGGAGTATAGATATATCTACCATTAAAACCATGGTTTATAAAGCATAGATATAGCAATATAGGTGCTGATACATCCCCATGTATGTTTGAATGTATGTTTAAGATTAGGTATATGTGTATGGTATAGATCTTATACATCGGTATATATATATATTCGTGTTCCTCCATGTATGGCTCAGAGCCCAACCAACCATTCACCCAAGGGAACTAAGCTAGGACAGCTAGAACCATAAAAAGAAGAATCAAAACGGTTTTTCGCCAAAGGGACCCATTTAAAGAAGAATCAACAATTTTTACCAGAGCCATAGTTGATTTACCCATTCAAAAATGGTGGATCTTTCCAGTTCGCTATGTAAACCTTGACCAGAGGGTATAACCATGGCTTTTTTAACCAACAAACAGGTCACGAAAATCACAACAACAGGGCACCACGCCTGGATTCCGTGCATCGACCGCTGAAGTGATTCTCGGGTGGGCACAGGTTCCAGACCTCGGACGTAAGAAGACGACTGGGAAAAAAGGGGACGCCATAGAACCAACGAGTTTCCGGTTTAATCTAATAATGCTATGTATATATATATATGTATATATATGTATATATATATATATATGTGTATATATATATATACATATACATATTATACATATATATATATATGGATATAGTTTCATATAACAAAATATACCATAACCAATAATTTACTTTCTGGTGTCATATGTGGTTTAAGGAAGGGATATAACATGATATAACTCATTGCAGTAGGGTTGATCTGGAGGATATAACGAACGAGTTCACAGTTTTAGAAGCCAACAAACATCACTTTGGGGGGTCAGCTTGTAGCACAATGCCCAAAATCACACACTTAAGGTGATCTTGGGATCTACTTGATCTACTTCCAGGGATTTCTGGTCAAAACTTCCAGGGATTTCTTCCGGATAGTGACCGGGAAATCCTTTCTTCACATCCCAGCCATGGGATTTGCTAGTTAGGATGCTGTCGAAACGTCCACCCTACCAGACTTAAAATTCTCCCATCCCCATGGTGGTTCAACCACCTTTATTGTTGGTTACTCTCTGGTAAACGTTTACATAACTATGGAAAAGCACCATTTTTTCATGGGAAAATTCACCATTTTCCATAGTTATGTTAAATCACCAAAGGGTAAATCACTATTTTTGTTCGTTAAACCAACCATTTTAAAATTCTTGCTATAACCACAATGGATCGCCCCAACGCCGTCGCTGTCTCGCCGCGCCAAGTGGCACGTGCCAACACACCGCGGCCTGCCGGCTCTGAGCTCGCTGCTGAAGTGGACTCAAAAAAAACGGGGTGATGACTATAGTGATATCCCAAATAATCATTATAATCATAGTATGTAGTGTATATACCGTGTATATATATAGTATATAATTATAATTTACTTATATAATTTATACCTGAAAAGTTGATAACGCCTAAAAATAAAACAAATACCTAAAATATAGTGTATAATATACCTGAATAGCTCTTGGCAGTGGTCTGAAGATAGGAAGATCGTTGGCACGTTAAGATCCAAAATATGAACAACATATCTTCAGGTACTGAAAAAAATTGTAATATGGCAAGCCTAAAATTATGAGCTGAACCTCAAGTTTCCAAATTCGTCAAACCATTTGGGCAATTTGAAGCACAAAAAATCTGGAACCCGCTTGCTTCGGATCTTTGAAGGGAAATCGGTATGGGTCAAACCTCTGGTAGCCTTCTCTTCACACCAAAATGCCTGGTAAATGTGGTTTCATCGCCCTAAGATGGCTGCTATTTCCATAGCTTTTGATCCCCAAAAAAAAACAAATCGGTCGAGTCGTTGGGGTACAAAGGGATGCTTTCAGGGGCTGAAAAAAAACTACCCGCACAACAGTGTTACCACGGTTGGCTGTCACATCTAATTCTAATTCTCCAATCAGAAACTTATCATAAGCAATTTTGGGGATGATTGCCCAAAATCACTATCATTCACGGATCAGACATAATTCTCCCAATCCTACTTGGTGGCGAACTACCCAGGAATCGTCAGTGGATTGTAACCCTCCGGGGGCGGAACTAACCCACTTACGAGCTCGATGAGCCAATATATCCCATTGAATCCCATTAAATCCCAATTAGATTTCGGTGATCAACCATAAAGCACTATCATTTTACTATCTCTTATATTTTACATGCGTAAAGCGCCATTTTTTCACCATCCAAAACGCGCGTCATGAGTCATAATCCCATCCAGCATGGTTTCTGGGTGTTCCAAAAAATGGGGGATGGGATTACTATGCACTAGGCAAAAAAAACACATATGAATATATATATATATATAGCTAATATTAGCCCATCAATATAGAAATATGATTGAAATAATGTAATTCTATATATTTATATACATAAACCTCGCATAATTTGCTTCCAAGAACATCATTCCAAAATTCCCAACAAGAATTCCCATGGATTCCCATGGATCCCCAGTATATAAGGGGTAGTGTAACCCCCCAAGAATCATCAACATGGGTTTTGAACTGGTTTCTAGTGGTTAATAGTGGTTAATAGTGGTTATATAATAGTGGTTTATTGTATGTACATGCATAATATAACTGGTTGGTTGAGCCCTACCCCTCTGAAAAATGATGGAGTTCGTCAGTTGGGATCTGTTAAATTCCCAACTGAATGGAAATTCATAAAAGCCATGTTCCAAACCACCAACCAGGATATCAACAAATCATGGTTCAAACATGTTACAAAAAAACTCCCTGGAAGGGCCCCTAGAATTGGCTGCCGAACTCCCAGCTGAAATCTCTTGGTTTTCTGCGTTGATCTTCACCTCCGGCTGCCCCTCCTCCGGGGAAGATCCCGCTGGGCGGTGGTGAATGCGGCACCGGCCGCGTGAGCTCAAAGACGGTCCAGTAGCGGCTACGCCAGGTGTCCACCTGCCACCGGGCCCCTGGGAGGGCACCACCGGGAAACCACGGCCCCATTTTTTCTAAACGCCATAGGATAAACGCCGTGTTTTTTTTATGTTGGGTTAATGGTTGAAATTGGGGATTCAAGTAGTGAAATGTCTTAATCGATATTTTCAATCGTTGGAGATACCGTACATCTAGTGGGATGTGGTTAGGAGCCACTTGAATGGTATGTGGCTGTGTCTGGAAATATGTTTTCTTCATCCCCAAAGTACTGCTCATTTCAATAAGGAAAGTGATGAGGTTCTGAGGTATACCTCCCCAAACGGCAAGTAAAGAATGCCTACGCGAGGTGAAATGAAGATGATTGAGAACAGGATGATTGCTGGATGGCCATGTTATATCCCTGCTTTTTGCACAGGCCTACATATTAGACATATTAGACAAATTGATAGGGTGTTTCCAACGGCATCAAATTGGAGGTCGAAGAACGGAAAATAACACGACCCTCAAGTGCATGCCAGGCAGTTTTAGTCAGCACCCCCTTGCTTTACCTTTGTTTTTCTGTAATTTCGTTGGAAAAAGCATCGGGTGCCTGAAGGTACTGAAGTAGTTTCGCAGTAGCTTTGATAGTCCTTGAAGTCAGCAAGTTACTGGATGATGGGCCCCCTGCAACTGGGAAAGATGGGGATTTT